CACACACACACACACACACAATAAAAAATTTTAAAAAGAGGGAGACACTTGACCCATGCAAGAGCTTACGGAGTTGTAGAAATGTGCCCCACTGTAAGTCAAGGGTACCTGTAAACGTAGCCCCTGTGAAGCCTCAGGGGCTCTCCATCTGTAACCCCCAACCCTTGGTACTCTCTGATTCCTGTTTCTCTCATTCACCTACAGCTGAATACCACACCTGTCCCAGGTGGCAGTATCCACACACAGGCCCGGCTGAGGTTGACCAGGGCTGTTCTCTAGTGAGAACCAGTAGCTGACGTGACAACTGGGTCTGGACATTTGTTAAGGCCCCATCGTGTCTGTGAGAAGCCCAGGTGGCACAGTGGATCAAGCATGGGATTGCTAACTGAAAGGGTTGAATCCCCAGGTGATGACGGGTGGGGGACAGAGGCAGCAGTCAGCAGGCTTTACTGCCCGGGACCCCTCTGTCCCCTGGACCTACGTTGTCTCCCATGGTCCTTCTCTGCAGTCTCCTCTCGGACATGGGCCTCGGGCAGGATTGCCGAGCCCACCTTCCAAATAATGGCCTGAAGCGTCCTCCTAACAAACTCCACGGGGAAAACTGGACACACCCCCCAACGTGCTTGGAGTTTTCTCTCATATGTGTGCTTACCACAGAAACACTGTGGGCACCAGAAAGCAGCTGGAGAGACAGGCTGTAGAAACACCAGCATAAACAGAAGCCCCTCCTTGCCCTCAGCTCAGGCCTCTGCAGGGTGGGGTGGGGGCTGCCAAGTTGATTCTGACCCATGGTGACCACAGGTGACAGTGTGGAACTGCCCACAGGATGTCAGTCCTTCCAGCTGGCAGCTGAGTGCTTAAGCTCTGCAGCACCCGGGCTCCCCCAAATGGCATGTACACACCCTAATTTAGAGTGTACTGGCCCAAAGGGTGGACAGACAAGGCTGGAAGGAGACAGTGGCCAGTGGTGACGGGGCCAGGAAGGCCGTGCGTTGCCTGGTGCCCACCCCGACCAGGGCTGGTCACTGAGAGGGTCGGCGTGGGCTCGGCCTCACTGCACCCGCTGTTTCTGCTCACGGCGGAGTCTGCATTTGAAGGACTCACCTTGTTCTTGATCTTCCTCCGGATTTTCTTCAGCGCCTTCTCCTCCGACTTGGTCAGGGGCAGTTTGGTGGGGATGGGGTAGCCCTCGGCGATCAGAGTCCTCTTCTCCTCCTCCGTCAGGACCAGTGGGCCCGAGCCCTGCAGCTTCTGAGCAGAACCAGGAGAGAGAAGGGTCAGTGGGGACCAACGGGGCCCACCTCCTGCAGGTTCCAAACAGGATAGAAAAGAAGGGTGAAGGGGGACCAACGGGCTACACGAGGAACGTCCCTCAGTCCCACCTCCACCTCCTAGAGCTTCTGAGCAGACCCAGGAGAGAAGAGGTAAGTCAGTGGGGACCAAGAGGGCACATAAGAACGTTCTCCAAGCCCACCTCCACCTCTTACAGGTTATGAACAGACCCAAGACAGAACAGAGGGGTCATCAAGGCACAATGGGGCACAGGAGTGGACCGTGGCAGGCCCACCTCCACCTCCTGCAAGTTCTAAGCAGACCAAGCAGGGACGAGGGTCGCCAGGGACCAGTACAGCTTAAGGGAGCCACTGGCGTAGGGTGACTAGATGTCACAGCCCAGCAGACGGCTCAGAAAGGAGGTCTCATCGACCTCTGCGTAGAAATGGGAGCTCTGACGTGAAAGCTAAGACAGAAGACGCTCTGGTGTGGATGCTTAACTCAGGGCCAGTACTCCTCTGGCTTCAGCTGTTACGGGGCAGACGGGCCCCGGTTCTTCACGGAGCCGCTGGTGGGGTCAAATCTCTGACCTTACAGCTGACAGACAAGCACTTTAACCTGAGTGTTACAAGAACCCTTTACTACGTATCGTAGTCGGGTTTAGGTGCCACCAAGTTGGTCCTGATTTACAGCAGCCCGTGAACAACAGAACAAACACTGCCTGGTCCTGCGCCATCCTCACGTACTGGAACCCAGCACGTCAGCTCCAGCTAACAGCTGTGCAGGGATCACGACTCTCCCTGTTTGAGACGCCGAGACGGATCTGAGTCCCACAGGCAGATGAGAGTGATCAGAGATTGCCCTGCACAACAGGAACCCGGGGTGCACTGAAAACCCCAAGAGCACATGTAGGTGAGCCTGTGTGACGAGGGAGGGCTCGGACAGCGGAGGACGCTAGTACTGGAGCCCCTGGAGAAAGGGCGGGGGTACATCCGTGAGCAGAGGACACTGGACGTTACAAGCATGTCTCTGAGAAGAACGTGAGGCCCCTCTGTCCAGGGGAGGTAGGGGCTCCTGTGCTTGCAGAGGAGGCCTGAGGGACACGTGACGTGATGGCCTGAGGGCTTGTCATCAAGAGGGAGACAAAGGCCACTGACCAGGGATGGGTCACTGCACAGGCAGTGGGTGCGGCGCACGGACACAATGAGGGAGCTGTTACAGCGCCCCAAAGGGGAGGAGCCGGCTTAGAGATGAGAAGGCAGGGCAGTGAGGGTTAGAGTCCTCAGACAGCTTGTTCTAAAAGCATCGACTCTTTTCTGCTGCTCTGTGCTGTCAAGGTGGAACCCACTCACAGCTGCCCCTCCGGCAGGGTTTCAGAGGCGGGAAATCACACGGGAGGAGAATGTCCATCCTTCCCCGGCAGCAGCTGGCAGATTTGAACCACCTGCCTTTGGGCTGGCAGCGCAGCTCCCTAGCGCTGAGCCACCAGAGGTCCTGGCTGCTTTTTACTCCAGGCCATAGAATCCACTGCCGTCAAGTCAAATCCTAACTCGCAGGACCTTCTACGCAGAGCTGCCCCGCGGAGTTTCCAAGCTGCCCGTCCTGATGGAAGAACAGGGACTCGGCTTTCTCCACTGTGGGGCTGACGGATTTGAACCACCAACCACAGCAGCTGAGTACTTAACCACTGTGCCATCAAGCCTCCTACTGGGCCTGGGACCTGCTAAGAGCAGCAACAGCTACACTTTTGAGAAAGAGGAAACGAAAGTGCAAGTTTTACCCTCAGTAGTTACAGCTACCTAAGATAAACACAGAGCTGAAAAGCACAGTGAGGGAGGGCTGGGAAGGGTGTCAGCAGGTGGGCTCGGCAGTCTGGCGAGCACACCACTGGGCAGAGATCCTGACAAGAGTGTGGGGCCTGCAGGCCCTCGGATGGCCTGGGGGGACCATTGCCCCTGCCCCGTCTGCCTGTACTCACGTGGGGGGCGGTGAGGAGGGGCGAGCTGGAGAGGGAGGAGGGGGCTCGTGCCCCAACCCGGGCAGGGCTGGCGGTCTGCGGCAAGCCGAAGGGGTGCAGGCGCGGGTTGGGGCTCAGGCTGCCCTCTGAGTCGCTGCTGTGGCTGCTGGGAGGTGTGGGCGGCAGGTGCAGGTGGTCCACGGAGGCTGGAGAGAGAAGCGATGGCCCAGGAGGGTGAGGCAGACAAGCTCCCCAGACACACAGCCACCTCCCACACACAACACAGCAAAATACTGCCTGGCCCACACTGCCCCCAGAGGGTCACAGATCAGGCTGCAGGCCCCCAGCCCACACTTCTGGACCCTGTCCCACAGAGCCCTTCTGGCCATCCTGCACGGGTTGGATCTGGGCACTCTGGCAAGGCTTGGTGTGCCCAGCAAGGGCACGTCCCAGAGCCAGTTCCTTCTAGAGACCGCATCCAGTCAGGAGACGTGGACACAGGGACAACAGAACCCAACTGCTGGTCGGTCTGTGGGAAGCCTGGCTAGAGCAAACCTCTCAGCACTCAGCCAAAGGTCAAAGGTTCAAATCTACTTGGTAGCATTCAGAAGGCCGGGTGATTGACTTCTGACAAATCAGCCTGAGAGCCCACACAGCACAGCTCTGCCGACACATGGAGGCACCGAGCTGACCCCACAGCACGATGTGTACGGCTGCTGGGCGGAGAACCAGCTTGTTTACAAACTCTCACCTAAACCACGATAAACCCTCAAAACTGCCACCCACGCAAGGCAAGCAGGAGGCCTGGAACTTCAGAAGTCTCTGTGGTCATGGACACCTAAAGGCACTAGCGAGAGTGACAGAAGACACTGCGCTGACCAACCAAGGGGCTATGCGAGGTCACTATCAGAGGGGCAGTGCTGGGTCACTGCAGCCAACAGCGCTGGGGGCTCCCCCTCTTCACCAGCAACTCTCCACTTTTCTCCTGTCCCTTTATGCCTCTCCCTCACTGGGCTGGCCTCGGCTGGATCACTGGATCTGCCCCTTACCTGGTCCCACCTCCCCTGGTCACACCCCTCCCTGGACCTAACCCTTCTCAGGCCCAACCCTCCCTGAACACAGCCCTTCTCTCGACAAGGCCCTTCCTTGACCACACACCCATCCTGGCCACACTCTTTTCATGGCCACAGCTCTTCCCTGGACCTGTCCCTTTTCTGGACCTATCTGGTCAAGCCATCACCTTCTCTTATCAGAGCTGACCACTCCCGGCAGCCAAGGATTCCTACACCCATGAGTAAGAGTGCTGACAACACGAATCTCCCTACAATGAAGGCCGCGGACCTGCCCCCGGGGTTTCTCACTCCCGTCTGGCACACAGCTCTTAGTCACTGAGGACTGGGGTGGCTGTCCCTTCCCTGTCTCTGCTCCTCTCTCCTCTGGGATGGCAAGACAACCGAGGTCAGATGTCTGACTCTGAAGGCGTGCCTCCTGTGACGTGCCAGCGAGCACCAGACAGGGCCAGCGAGCACTGGACAGGGGCCATGGAGCACCTGGCAGGGGCCAGGGAGCACCGGATAGGGGCCAGCAGCACCAGGCAGGGGCCAGGGAGCACCCGGCAGGGGCCAGCACATTAAGGGACAGGACACATCACCCACTGAGGCCTTGGTGGGGAAGGGCCCAGTGAGCTCCCTCAGACCGCTCTATACCGATCCTGGCCAGTATTCCGATTGTTGTGGCTCAGCCTGTGTCCCCCCAAGCACGTGTCAACCTCCCTACACCACGACGGTCACTGTGACAGCCCAGAGGGAGGTGAGAGGAGACTGACCTTCCTTCGCAGAGAAGTTGAGGAACTGGTCCACTTCATGAGGCTCCAGCTTAATCTTGGGGATGACGGTCTGGCACGAGTCCACCTAAAGGCACGACATCAACACAATGGACACACGCACACCCGCACATGAAGCACCACGTAGGACCACGGGGCCGTCCTGGGCTTCCTGTCGGGGCTGAGGCAGGCCGCTGCCTGGACCGGAGGCCACCACCCAACCCTGTGACCGGCTCTCAGCTCCACACCCAGTAGCACGTGGATGGAGCCTGAGCCCACTGCCGTGATGTCCCCTCCAACACAGAGGTCCAGGTGGGTCACAGTGCAGCCACACTCCCTGAGGGCTTCAATGCCTGTGTTTCCTGGAGCACGCCAGGCCTTTTCTTCTGAGGAGCTTGTGGGGGACTCCAAGGAACAGAACCACCCTGTCTGCTGTGGCCACAGGGCTGGGCTGATATGCTTTCCAAGGTGTGGAGCCCCTCCCTCCGCTCCTGAGGCTGCAAATGGAAGAGGCTGCCCATCTTTCTCCTACAGAGTGGCTCGGGGATTCGAACCGCCAGCCTTTCAGTTAGCTTTCCACTACACTCCCAGAGGAAAATAAGATGGACCTTTCAAAACTTTTTAACACTGAAGTTTTTAAGACATAGCAATTCCACACACAGACAGACAGACACACACACACAGAGATGTGGGAAACACAGCCCGGCTCCAGCAGCTCCTCGGTGAGCAGCTCGATCTGAGACCCAGCGCTCGATGTGGGGGGCACGGCAGGCACCCCTGTGCTCACCTCCAGAGCGTGCTCCTCCTTCTCCAGAGGGGTGGAGACAGCTGTGATGGTGAGGGTGACCGAGGGGACCAGGCCTGGGGGCGGCTCGTCCGTGATCGGCTCCGTCTTGATGGTGGCCGGAGGAAAGTCTGTGGACAGGAACCACTTCTCACTCTCCACTTCGTCTGTGGGAAAAGAAGGCGGACGTGAGAGCTGCTCAGACACCGGGCTCCACACCGACCGACGGCGCTGGGCTCCCACCAACAGCCTCCTGCCAACGGTCACTGGGCAGACAGGGAATAGGAAGCAGACAAGAGAAGGACACACAGATTCCCGGTGGCTTTACTGAGCTACTGGGGACACCTGGTAAGCGGGCAAAGGGAGATACAGTGACCTAGTGACCCGTCATCAGGCAAGAGGTGAGGGGAAGAGTTATGCTCTATGTTCTGGATGCTTCCAGAACACTTAATTATGCTCATACAAAAGCTGTCACTGGACCAACAAGCTGTCATCTGAACAGAACATGGGAACGTCACATGGTTTAAAATTAGGAAAGGTGTGCATCTGGGTTGTATCCTTTCTCTGTATTCAGTATGTATGCTCTGCAAATCACTCAGGAAGCTAGACTTTATGAAAAACAACGTGACATCAGGATCGGAGGAAGACTCATCAACCTGTATTATGCAGATGTCACAACCTTGCTTGCTGAAAGCAAAGAGAACTTGAGATACTTGCTTCAGAGACTCAAAGACTACAGCCTTTGACATGGATTACATCTCAACATTAAAAAACAAAACTCACCACTGGGCCAATAGGCAATATCCTAATAGATGAAGACAAGACCGAGATTTTTAACCATTTCATCGTTTCAACCCCTAGAATCAGCAGTCAGATGTGCTGTTGTTTGTTGCTGTGTGCCACGGAGTGGGAACTGACCCACAGCTGACCCTCTGGCAGCTTTCAGAAGTAATTAATCGCAAGGGAGGAGACTGTCCATTCTTCTCCTTCAGAGCAGCTAGTGCCCTCGAACCGTGTGCCTTTGGGACTGCAGCGCAGCTTCTTGCCACTAGGCCACCAGAACTCCAGTCAGATCTAGAGGCGTTTAAAATTGGGAAAGTCTGCTGTCAGGGCCCTATCCATAGTCTCTAAGAGCAATGATGTCAGTTTAAAGACTAGGGTGTGCCTGATTCAAGCTACAGTTTTTTTCAATCACCTGTACATGTGAGAGCTAGAGAGTGAATAAGAATGGCAGGCGAAGACTCAACGCCTTTGAGTCACAGTGTTGAGGAAAAGGGCTAAATATCCCACCAACTGCGAGAAGAACAAGATCTCTTGGAGAAACTGCAACCACAGAGCTCCTTGGAGGCAAGGATGGCAAAGATTCACCATACATCCTCTGGGTATGTTGTCAGGAGAAGCTGTTTAGAGAAACAACATGCTTGGAAAGGTGGAGGGTCGGGGAAGGAGAGGAAGGCCCTCACCAAGATGGACTGACACAGTAATAGCAGCAATGGGCTCAAGTGTGTCAGAGATGATGCGGTTGGCCCAGGCCAGGGCAGGGTACAGATCTGTTGTTCACAGGGTCAAAGGTGTACTGGGTCCAATACCATTTAGGAACAACGAATGATTCCCACCACGAGTGTGGATGGGTTCTCTGAGATAAAGCATCAAAGTCTGAATCCTTCCACAGCTGACCCTCCCAGCAGTTTCAAGAGGCTATAAATCCCATGGGACGCGCCTGTCACCCTGCTGTGGAGCAGCTGGTGAGGTGAACCACCGGAGAGGTGCCGCCGTGGATTAATAGCACAGACTCATCATGGAAGGGACAGAGTTTAGAGCAAAACCAAATGGTCCAGCCGCAGTGGGAGGTGCAGGACGAGACGCCAGGCCCTCCTGGGACCTGGTCTCTGCTCTGCAGAGGCAGCGGAATCTCTCCAAACTGCTGAGAGCGGGCGGGCCCAGAAGCTAAACCCCAAAGCCCACCATTATCAACACTGTGCTTCATGAGCTGTGTCCTTCACGCACAGAGCAAGTCAGGGTGACGCACACAGAGAAGAGGCCCCCGCCACACCCAATGCCCACCCGACTCTAGGCCCCAAAAGGCAGGCAGGCAGCTGCTGCGGGGTGAGATGATCCCCAAGGAAGCCAGAGAACACCCACCCCATGGAGTAGAGTACTCCCACAGAGGTACAAAGACAGCCACTCTAAGAGTGGGTGTTCTGCTCTTAGCAGCTGCTCTGTGCTACGTCCGGGCGTCCACTGTTTGTGAGGGAATTGGGGAAGGGGATGGGATCAATTGCTTCTTGACAGTGTCTTCTCTGGGGCTACAGGCCAGAAGGGCGTCCAGGCCAGACGGGCATCCAGTGTAGCCAAGAGAAACACCCAGACCCAGAATCAACAGAAGATTCCAGCAGCTCTGCCAAGCGGGGCTGAGGGACTCACTGGAAGACAGAGCCATCACTGGAGAGGAAAGGACAGTGGGGAGGGCCAGGCTGGTGCTAGGAGGACATGCAGACCCCACTCTGCTCGCACCGCTGGGGAGCCTGAGGGGACATCCGAGCGTGACGCTGACCCCACGAGCACACTGTTCCCACTGGATGAGGTCGCCCTGGCCGAGGACAGAGTGAAGGTCAAGGAGGCATTACAGCGAGGAAGAGGCAGCATCCTGGAGCCTGGGGCTCGCATGCACCTAGAAGAGCTTAGAGGAGAAAGACCCCCAGCCTCAGTGCAAAGAATTCACTTCCTAAAAGTAACACGCAGAACAGAGTCAACGAGGCCACTCTCAAACACTGCGATGGCTTGTGTTCAGGGGTCAGTGACCAGAGGACAGCCCAGGGCCCCACTGAGTAAGAGGTGAGGGCTGGATGGGCCACTTGGACCCCACTGGGAGCAGGGCTCCCCTTAGGCACACGAGACCCCGCCCCCTCCACTCCGAGCCCCGTGGAGGACCACAGAGGCGTTGTCCTCCCGGGTCCACTCTAACACCTCACTCCTGAAGCTCTGTCTCCGCTGAAGGGCTCTGGCAGCACAAGGTTAAGCACTTGGCTACTGACCTACAGATCGCTGGTTCAAGGACACCCAGTGGACTCTGCAGAGAAAGACCTAGCAGTTTGCTCCCCCACAAATCACAGCCAAACAGCACAGGGTCACTGGGATTGTCTCGGTGACACTCGGAAACTGTTGGGATCGTGAATCGAACTGGAATGTGAGAATTTTAAGACCATGAAGCCACAAAGCCTCCTCCCACGGATGAAGTTACTGACACACTGGCCTCTGTCGGAGGCCTCGGGTTCACTGATACCACAACTCCTCTCTCCCACTCCCTAGCACAGCAGGAAGCTTCCTTCCTGTTACACTAAGGGGCAGTTAAACACGTGGATGCACGCACCTGTCCCCTGCAGCAGTATTCACGACCGCAGAGCACTGACGAGCAAGGTGAAGGTTAAAAAGTGACGGTGCAGCCATAAAGAGCCCGAGTCGTCCAGCTCGACCAGCAGGATCCCTGAGCCAAGTCCCAGCCGAGGGACAGCCATCGTGTGATGTGCTGTCAAGCTGGAACTGACTGACAGCTAACCCTCCAGTGGGCTTTCAGAGGCAGTAAATCGCACAGGAGGAAGCTGCCCATCTTTCTCCTGCAGAGCAGCTGAAGGATTCAAACCATGTGCCTTTGGGTTGGCAGAGCAGCTCCTTACCGCTGGGCCACTTGAGCTCTCCCTCCTGAGGGACAGTCACGGGGGGTACTGTCTGAAGCTGCTGAGTTCCAGGGCTGTTTGTTACGTGGCAGCAACACCAGCAGATTTAGTGCAGCCGAGTGTGTGCAGACAGGCTTCCGCTCGGGACACCAGAACCCACTGCAATCAAATCTGCACCTCGTTTCCAACACAACGCTTCTGAGCGGCCCACTGTCAACCTTCTCAATGGATGTCTGTGGGCCGATGGCTGGGTGCACCAGCCACACCATGAAATAAAGGCTTCAAAGATGAAGAAAGCCCAGCCAGTAAGGAGCCCGGTGGGTGCATGCCAGAGGCAGTTAAGACAAGAAGAAAGGGCACTTATTTCATCCTAAACTCCTGGCTGCTGCCTCGAGCTCGGTCGTTCCCCGGAAACCAGGATCAAAGCACAGGAGAAACATGACAAATGTGACCTGTGAGGTCACGGGTTAGTGGAGACCAAAGAAGGGGGGATGAGGGGAACATGTAACCACTTTTCCATATGGCCTGCATCTACTTTACCAGCTAAAAGACCAATAGGGCCCCCATAACTCAGAGCTGGAGGTGTCCTGGGATGTCTGAACTGCTGGTTAACCTGCAAATGCTGGAGAAAGACATGGTGCTCGGCAAAGGAGAGGGTCCGAGAATAAGAGGAAGGTCCTCACGAGATGGACGGACACACAGTGGCCGTGGCAATGGTCCAAGCAGAGCTGGGACTGGGAAGACGGCAGGGTGAGGGGTGGGGGATGGAGTGCACGGGGTGGGGAGGTGTTTCATTCTGACAGGGTTACTAGGAGCTGAACTAAAAGAGTCCTGGTGGGGCAGGGGTTAAGCACTCAGTTGATAACCCAAAGGTTGGCAGTTCGAACCCACCAAGTGCTCCACAAAAGAAAGGCAGTCTGCTTCCCTTAAGATTCACACCTTGGAGCCCTGAGGGGTGGTTCTCTGCCCTGCGGGCTGCTGTCACCTGGAATCAGCGCCAGTATGCGTGGTGCAGGTGTGGGTGGTATGGACGGGCCACTTCTGCACATGCACACTTTACAGGAAAGCCTGCTGGTAACTCATATGCTTTTAGACTTGGTTCTCACATCACCCTGGAGGACAAGGGTCATGTCTGGGTCTCCATCTGTCCCAGTCCAGGACCCCTGAGTCCCCTCAGGAGAAGGAAGGCTTCTGTAACGGCTGAAGTGGAATCGGAGAAGCAGGACGGACACACCACACAGAGATGCGGCCACATGGCAGATGCAGGGATGTCTTCACGGCCTGCCTTCGTGTCCTCAGTCAGGCATCGTAGTCTCCACTCAGCTCTGTTTAATCCCTTTCTCAGAGGGTGACAGGGAAGGAGGGAGGCAGGAGGGAGGTAGCACGCAGGAGCCCTCCTTGGGGGTTGGCAGTGGCTCCGTCACAGAAAGGACGAGCAGTGGTCTTCGGCCCACACCCCTCACACGGGCTCCAGGAGCCTCTAGACCACACGACACATTACCTTCAGTGACTTGAGGGCTGCAGTCAAGCTGAGCCCCTAACAAAGACGGCCCCTGCAGACCCTCAGATCAGATGCTGGAGATGCTTCAGAAAGTTTAAAAAATGCTCCCCCCAAACAACTAATACAGGAGACACCCCCGACAGCGTGCGTAACTGTAGGAATCCATGGCCCATGAGAGGCGCCTCGGACAGGATCCCAATACCTGCACTCGCTACATGACCGGCTGGGACTGCAGGATGAGGCAGGGTGGGAGAGGCGGTTACATAACAGCAGGGACGCAAAAGGAGATGGAACGGAGAGTAACGGGGCAGGAGACAAACCCTGAAAAACACAGAGAGTCAGACACAGCCCCCCGTGCTTCAGGATGATGGGAAAACAACATTAGAAAGCATATCAAAGAGACTGTCACTCTCTTCCAGGCTCAGAAGCAATTATGGCCCAAGTGACAAGTACAAAGCACCTCAACCTCACTGTCAAGTCGGAATCGACTCTGACCCTCTGGCGGGTTTTCAGAGGCTGTAAATCTCCCGGGAGGAGACTGTCCACATTTCTCCCACATGCAGCAGCTGGTGGATTCAAACCACCTGCCTTTGGGTTGGCAGCACAACTCCTTACCTACTGCACTACCTTTAATCTCAGTAAACACGGGAAGGAGATCTGGCCCAAGTACAGGGAAACACGCTCTTCCCGTCCCCAGAAACAAGGAATTGTAGCTCTACTCATCACGGAAGAGTGCAGGGCTGTGAGTGATGCGCGCGGCTACTTCCACCACTGAAGACTCGCAATGGATGAGGGAAACTTTCTCCTCCATCAGGGAGGCCAGCGGCCTTGATGGCTACTGGGCTTTGGGGGATCCTTCCAGATTGTACCTCCGCATCCTAAAGAAGGGACCAATACCCAAGATGAGGCGTCCACTGGAAGAACAGAATGGTGTGGGCTTTGGCCTCTTAAGAAAGATTTCCAGTGAAAGAGCATCTGGTATTGATCGAAGTGCCCAGAGGTTCTTTTATGTTACACCTAGATTGATTACACAAAAAAACAAAGATAAACAAACAAACAAACAAACAAACCACAAAACAAAATAGGGTCAGGCATCCCACAGGGCACCTCTCCACCCTTCATGTAGGAGGAAAATAGGGAACAAGCCTCAGAATAGTGAAAAGGACCAGGCTTACAGGTCAGACAAAGACTGGGGACCCCCTGAGACTATGGCCCCTAGACCTCCTTCAAGCCTGGAAATGACCGCTCCCCCACAATCAGCTTTCGGCCAAAGATCTGACAAGGTAATAAGGTGATCGGTGACCCAGGGACGTGGCCACTCGTTAGAAGCACCTGCGATTCGAGATCAGAAGGCAGTTCAGGGACAGAGCTCAGAGGGCAGGAAGGGACAGGAAGGACGATGAGTGGGTACTGTAAACCCAGAGGGGAGGAGGGAAAGTGCTGTCACAGGTGAGACTGTAGTCAACGCCCTGAAACCGAACGTCTATGGCTGACCAGAAAACAAGCGCTCTATACACTTTCATCCAAGCCACAGCAAAACGTCTGAATACGAGACAAACAACAAAAGCCCAGCGAAATCTCTGCCTCGCCCATCAGCTAATCCCGAGGTTCCTTGTGGGCTCTTCCCTCCACATCTTCAGCCTCCTTCCCTCCCGGTCACTGTAGATATTGGGGTGAAGCTGTGTGCGTGCCTGGGTTCACACTGGGCTGGGGGCTCCTATGGGTGGGGTCCAGTCTCACTGCGGTGTTCCAGCATCCATGAGGCCTGGTATCCCAAGTAACAACACACAGACTCAGGGCAGAAGGGCAGGGCAGGCCCCCTGGGCTGCTGCGGTCATCCTGCATGTTCTGCGGAGCTGACCATCCACAGACACAGCCTCAGTGCCACATGCTGTCCAGTTGGTTCAGGCCAAACGCCACTGGGCGCCCAGCACGGCCGGGGCCCGTCTGCGACCACTGCTGCAGCTGACGAGTGGTGCCGTCCACCCTGGGGGCCACCTCCCAGCACCCGGTCAACTGCACAGCATGCTGTTATGCTTCAAAGGGTTTTCTCATTGGAAAGCAGATGACCAGGCCTTTCTTCCTAGTCTAGAAGTGTCGCTGAAATCAGTCTACATGCACGGGAGGTGGAGGACAGGTGTAACTCTGAGTAAGTGGAGGTTCCAAGAAACGCCTGGGACAGACATCACACTCGGACGAGCAGAGGGTCAGTGAAGGAGAGGGGGGTCCCCAGGAGAGATATCACACTCAGATAAGGAGAGGGTCAGTGAAGGAGAGGGGGACCCCCAGGAGAGATATCACACTCGGACGAGCAGAGGGTCAGTGAAAGAAAGGGGGGCCCCCAGGAGAGATATCACACTCAGATAAGGAGAGGGTCAGTGAAGGAGGGGTCCCCCAGGAGATATATCACACTCGGACGAGCAGAGGGTCAGTGAAAGAAAGGGGGGGCCCCCAGGAGAGATATCACACTCAGATAAGGAGAGGGTCAGTGAAGGAGAGGGGGACCCCCAGGAGAGACATCACACTCGGACAAGCAGAGGGTCAGTGAAGGAGAGGGGAGCCCCCAGGAGATGGACTGATAGTGGTTCCAACAGTGGACCCTGCCCTGCAGGCTGTGAGGATGGCATGGGACCGGGTAGGGCTTTGTTCTACTGTCCACGGGGCTGCCAAAAAACAGAGCCGACGCGGGGTCCCCTAACAACAAGCGCCTGCAAGGGTCATGATTCGAACTGGAAGCCTCCAAACTGTGAGAAAATAAATCCCATTCTTTAAAGCCGACCACTTGTGATGTTTCTGTTACAGCAGCATGAGGTGAGGGAGACTGTCAGGGAAGGCACTGCCGCTCTGCCTTGATCTGTGGATGCCGCACCCCTGGGATACCAGTTCCCTGCACTCAAGGAGCCCCCAGGGAAGGCTGCCTGGAGGAGCCGATCAGCCAGCTTCCACTCCTCCACTGTGAGCATCCTTGGAAGCACATTCCTCTCCTGGAAAGGATCTAGAAGAACGAAGGCCCACGCAATATCTGACTTCCACCTCAAGAGCCATCCTGACTCAGAACCACCCAGCTGAGGGACTCCGAGTTCCTCCTCCTCCAAACGATGAGAGAACAGACAAGAGTCACCGCTGCTTCTGAGGGAGGACCGACACCCAGGCTCCAGCAGGCACACCCCGCGATAGACAGCGGGGTCCGTCCTGCACCACAGAGATGTGAGAACGGGACAGGCAGGCGGGTTCCTCCTGATGTACCAACAGCAAACCTCTGGAGGTGATCCCACCTCAAAATGGGTTTCTCTGTCATGTTAGAGACCACAGCAGCACAGGGTGTGTCTTAATCCCACCAAGGTACCAAAAAAAGGAGATTTAGGTGCAGAGCAAAGCCAAGGACAAAGGAGGAAAGACAGAAGCCATATGGCCATCACCAGGGAGAGCTAAGACTGGAAAATTGAGACAAGGACCTTTTCCCAGAAGAAGAACACCTCCCTGTGGCAATGTGATGATTTGGACTTGGAGCCTCCTACCCTCCAAGAAAAGAGCCAGCCGCTGTGGCACTTGTGTTACAGGACGCACCTGAGACAAGGGTGCACTGGACTGGTGGGAATTACACCAGACAGCCTGCCCTGCTCCACCTAAAGGCACTAGGGCTCCAGAAAGTTCTGCATACAGAACTGATCACTGGGCCCCATGTCCTTCCACTGGGTGTCTGCGGACAGTTATCTCCCACCTCCCTCCCACCCCCCAGGGCTCCGACCCCCTTACCGTCATTGAAGCTCTCCCCAGGGGCTGCGTGGCTGAAGGGCGACTGGGCGCCGGGCTCCTCGCTCAGGGAGTAGCTGTGCTCAGCCTGGATGAGGGGTGCAGGCGACATGGGGGACGGCCCCACCTCCATGGCCTCGCTCTTCTCCGACAGGAAGGGGTCATTGAGCAGCTGGCCCAGGCCCAGGACGTTCTGGGAGAACTCGTCCAGCAGTTCTGAGAAGTGCTGTGGAAGAGAGGGCGGACTCAGGCTCGAAGCAGGAACATGCACTCTGTGTGTTGGGTTGACCTGTGTCCCTAAAACAGGCGTGTGTGATGACGTGAAGTGGATGCCCTGTCACGATGCCCCATGATCCCAATGACTGCAGGAGGATTAAGGGTAGAGCGCAACCTTCCTGAATCCCATCACTGACCCTCCTGCATGTAAGAGAACTCCCCCAGGTGTAGACAGGGACCTCATTGCTTTTCTCTCCAAGAAAGAGCCTCTGGGAGTGGAGTGTGTGTTTTCTAACCCAGGCTCCTGCATAAGGAAGCTCTGTCACACTGGTGAAGGCCAGGACAGAGGGACACAGGTGTCCAAGGAGACGAAGGAAACAAAGACCTTCATCCACAGCCAGCAGAGAGGGGGTTCCCCTGGGGCTGGCACCCTGATCTGGACCTGCTGCTTCCTACCCTGACAGAGAATAAATCTGTCCACTGCAGCCATTCACTTGTGGTATCTGTTACAGAAAGACTAGAGAACTAAGACACGCAGCTCTGTCTACTAAGGAAAGCCTGGCCCCACCATCAAAGAGGGGCTTACAGGCCCCCTATCTGGCACCATGCTTGCTTTGACTGAAAAACTACAGTCTGGCTTAGCTACCAAGGAATGTCCTGAGCACCCGGGTCTTTGAGGCACGATACACAAGCACACCCATGGTGTCAGTCTTCACAAACTGAAGGCTGATGGCCACTTGAGTCCTTTTCCCAACAACACGTGTTCTCGCCTCATCTCGGTGACCACTTTTATCATTCTCACAGATTTTCACACTTTCTCCCCCACCGTTGTACACCATTGTACACGGTGCAGTGTCTGACGGAATTGTCTTCTGTGAGCACTAGGGAACCAAAGCTTCCCGGAGATGTTTTTTATTGCAACGTTTACTAGACTGAAGTGCCTGGAATCGAACCTGCATCACCTCTGAATGTGTCTGCACAGCGGTCAGACAGACAGCAGTGGAAGCTCTGGGCACACTCAGAGAGGACCTGGCTTGGACAAGATGCCTGGCCAGTCCCAGCAAGACACTGCTCCACAGACTGACCACCCACCCTCATCAGTACCCACCAGATAGGATGTGGAACACGTCTTTGCGGGCCTGCATGACAAGTCGCCCTGCTTGTCCCCCAAGTCCCCAAGGATTCAGACCCTCAGGGGTCTGGTTATGGATAAGAAGTTTACACAACTCTGGCCCTGCTGGCTCTGCTGTGTATGCGACAGGAGGGTTTCAATGGCTAAGTTTTCAGAGCTAGATTGCCAGGCCTTTCCTCCGAGGTGCCTCAAGGTGGACTTGAAGCCCCAACCTTTCCGTTAGCAGACGAGTGCTGTCCCTGGTCAGTGGCAGTAGGGATGGATCTTGCTCTTTTTAAATTCCATGTCCTATGCTGTAATCACTGCTTATGCTGTCATGCTGTTGTGTCAAGAGTTAATTGTTCAAAATGGTTTTCCTAGCCACTAACTTTCCCAAAGAGATGGGTGGGCTCATGCAAACAGGCCATGCTGGTCTACCCGCAAGGGACTGCCAAGACTCTCCATTAAACTGAGCAGATTCAGCAGCAGAATTTGGGAAATCTCACCATAAACCAAGGAGAGGAAAGCACGTGCTTCAGGGCCAGAGCTCCTTGGCCAGACAGACCAGGATCTACCAAGAGCACAAGCAGCCTCATCAGAGAACCAGAGACCAGCCTGATGCAGAGCTGACTGGAGACTGCTGCCCCCGGAGCCAGAGCCAGAGGCCTTGACCTGCGTCTGCTGGACGACTCAGCTGACACGACTGGCAGCCGAAGGGGACTCTGTGATACTGACCAAGGCCATAAGGCTGGAGGTAGAAAGGCCTATGAACACACTTGAGAAGATATCGGACTGAAGGGTTCTATCCTGATGCCAACCTGAATTATAGACTGTTACCTTCCACTTCTTAAACAACAAGCCTCTGGAAACTCTACGAACTTTGATAAAAGCTGATAGTTATAGAAAGGCTTCAAGCCTTTTGTTCATCGGGTCACTATGAGTGATGTTTGACTAAATGGAAATCAACAACTAGCACCACCTTCCCTAATAAACCCATAAGCATGGTTCTGTCAAATCTGTGTGGTCATTGCAATGGATTCTGGACCCAGGAGAGCAGTAAGACTGCTGTTGACTTGGTAGAAGCAGGGGTAGGGGCGTGGAAGACCATGTCTGACCTTACAAGGATTAGCTCTGTACTGTGAATGCTGTCGATGGGACAGATGCCACGTCTGGAGTCAGGAGAAGTCAGATGTGGTGGTGCCCTGGATGCCTACGCTCATTTCACAAGCGCCACCTCTTTGACACTCGGTTTCCTTCTCTGCACAGCTGTCTGGGATGGGGGGATGCGGACACTGGACCAATTAGTGGCTGTCACCTTTACTGATTATTCGCGGATCCTTCTGAGAATTTCACAAAAGTGTTGGAGTCCCTGCTATGGGAAAGCCCCCAGGCTCCTCTATCCCAGTGCAGGGCTGCTGTGGGGTTCACCTGCCCCTAACAGTTTGTCTGTGCTGGCCAGGGTTCCTCACAGGGTTAACAGATGCATGACCGTTCCCCGTCACTGCTAACAGCCTGCTCTGCTGTAAAGCAGTACCATTTTCTAGAAGGATTCGGGCAGTTGAAGGCAGAGGTACAGCAGCCTCTAAGTTTCGAGAAAGGAGGCACAAAAAGCCCCCCCCCCCTTTTCACGGCTGTGTTTAGTTTTGAGAACCCTGCCAGGGTGTGGGTGGGTGGGGCAGGGTGAGAGGGTTAGAAAGCAGAGCCTGGCCAGTGTCCAGGGAGCCCGCCCGTGGCTCCACAAAGGCTCCTTTCTCCAGCGGGGGCCCCCGGGGACTGCCGGCCTGGCAGCAGTGTGGGGCAGGATAGCCACTCTCTTGTACGGAGAGGAGGCTTTTTACCTAAAATCTCAGCGAGGAGGCTTCCCGGGGAGAAGTGGATGCCCCACACTGCAGCCACAGGCGCGGGGACATCCCAGCCACAGCCTCCAAGAAATGACGGGGTGCGCCCCCAATTCACCATAAATAGCAAGGGCTCCTTACTCAGAACTCAGACCAAAGATTCTACAGAAGAATCCTGATCAAAGGAGAGGGAAACAGAGTTCAATTCCTCATGGGATCCGGACTTTCTGGAGCCAGAGAAGCTGCATGAGTCCCAAAAACTATCATCCTGAGAAGATCTCTAAATTTTAAAACAAAAACATGAAAACATCCCCTGAAGTTGTCTTTAAACTATAAACCTCATAAATTGCCCTCATGTCTACCCCAACTCGGCAGCCCCCGCCAGTGTCTGAGGCTGTAAAATGCTTAAGGGAGGAGAGAATACTGTCCATCTCGCTCCCAGGGACAGCGGGTGGAGTCGAGCCTGTGACCTTTTGGAAAGCAGCCCAAGACATTACTCATTTAAATAGCAAAGAATATCTACTTTGAGAATCTCTATTTTGTCTACATGGCATCGCACGGATAGCAGTGACTTTTTTTTAAAAAAAATGTATTGCTGTTTGGTTGAAAGTTTACAGAGCAGATTCACCTTCCAGGCAAAAACTTACACACATTTTTGTTTTGTGACACTGGCTGCAATGTCTTTGATGTAACAGCACTTCCCCCACCTCCTCCCTAGAGTCTGTTTCCATTCACCCTCTTTCCTGCTGAGTTTTGGGGCCACGCTGCTCTTTTGGGATGGTCTGGTCCACTGCACAGGGAGTGCATTCCTCCCTACGTGGTGCTTTCTCTCCACAGAGAAAGATGCGAATCCTCCTCCTAGAAACACTTACAGCCTCAGAAGTGGGAGGGAGGGTCCCTATCAAGCACGACTGGTTTGTCGGCAGTGGTGGTCCCCATCCAGGACCTTTCACTGAGACAGGGACAGATGTGGCATCCAGGCACCCCCTGCTCTCCTGGCCTTGGGCAGTGGAGGCTGCAGTTCCAACAGCCCAGCAGATCTGTGTCCGTATTTCTGCGTCTCATCTTCCTCTATCCTCTCTGCCGTGGACGAAGAGGGACCAACGGTTGTTTCCTACCTGGATATTTGGCACCAATGATGTGAAAGTCAGTTGAGAAGTTTTGGGAGTGCTGAGTTTATGTTAGTGGGGGGAGGAAATGTTCAGAAATGAGAGAGAGGGTGCACAACCTGAAGAAGGTAACTGAGTCACGAAATTGTTTATTTGGAAGCAGGAGTTGTAGAGGGGCTTCAGGCCTTTTGTTCATAGGGTCACTATGAGTTGTGCTCGACTCGAAGGCAATCAACAACAAATTGGTCATGTAGAAATGGCTAGACTGCTCAGACAACAAAAGAAAATAAACTATTATTAAAATACTTGAAAAGCAAGGTCTATCTAGTGACACACGCAGCCCCCTGGTAGTGGTTCTGGGAGGTGAAGGGAGGGCTGGGTGGGGCCTGTCCTGAGCTCACAGACCCAAGGCCAGGGCAGGAGACACCGGGGATCCCTCCCTTTTGAAAGGGCCCAGGGACCCACACATCCCCAGAAGCCCATGTTTGCCCCTAAATGCTTCCCAAAAAAACCCATCACACAGACACCCGCCCCCCCAGGAAAGAGCCAGCCACCAGGCGGCAGCAGGCGACCCTGTCACAGCCACAGGATAAAAAATAATACACAAGTCAGACCCCCAAACAGCGGCCTTCCAGGATCTCATCCCAACTTGTGTTGGGTACCAAGACACAGGACACCTCATCTTTATCAAAGTGAAACAGGGAACTGAGCCTTTTTTAACTCTTTACTGTGGCCTGACTGAGAGTTTATGGAGCCAACTGGCCTTCCACTGAACCATTCACACACTTTGTTTCCTGACATTCATGAGAGGCCTCACGTTGTAACCGCACTCGTCCCTCTCCCTCCCTGTGCTTCCCACTTCCACTCTGCCTTCCTGCCTGCAGAGCTTTCTTCCTAGACACACCTCATCATCCTGATACTATTCAGGTGGCTGTTCTGAGGAGCACGTTTC